GTCTCCGTGTCCATGTGGCCTTGGTACAAGCCCCTCTGCCCTGAGGCGTGTGTCCCCTGGCTTGCAGGCCACCATACTCTTCTGGTTTTCCTTTCTCTGTCTAGCCTCCTTTGCTAGTTTCTGACTATGGTGGAGGGTCTTATGGACCTCAAAAAGGAATATATCTTCCACGAAGGACTTCCTGTGGTTAACTGTGCCCAATTTCATAATTAGATTCTAGCAGCCATTGTGTACACGCACCCTGCATTATTAGGGAAAAGCCACAGACTGAGCTGCCAAGTTCCCTGCCCTGTGTTCCTGCTCACTGAGCAGAACCTGATAAAGGAATTACTGGAATCATATTTTGACTAATGACTGCGACCTGCCCCGCCCAGTCAGCACTGCAGGGCTTTCTCCCTGACTTCCTTTAGGTCTTTATATCCTCAGTTGCATCTTTACCAACCAATGAAAGCAGCTCTGTAACGGCCAATCAGGATGTGCTATTCTAACAAAAACGGGACAGTGCTGTTTGGACTACTCAAACAATGCAAATTTGGATTTCTCATTTGCATAAAATGGATCAATCAGGGGGCCAGGGTGGGCACTTTATATAAGTTGGCCTCCCCTGGGAATTCCTGTTGGCGTTAGACTGGTGACAGTGAAGTTTGTTGACAGTGTGAAGGCTCAGGCCTTGCTTCTCAACATGCCACTTAGAGGTCTACTAGACATGTCAAGTCAAGATGTCTGCAATGGAACCAGTTCTGATTCTCCTCATCCCAAACTGGTTCCACCTATATCAGAATCTCAGTATCTCAGTGTCTTCATTCTTCCGGGTGTTCCGGCAAAAACTGTGGCATCCCCTTGACTCTCATACCCAGTAGCCAGTCCGTTACCACCTATTGTCTTTGCCTTCAAAATGTACCCAGAGTTTTGCCTCATCGTCTTAGCGCTCTACTGCGCTCACCTGGACCAGCCACCATCCTTTTGTAACTCCTCTCTTTGTCCCCATCTCTTGTCCCCTTGCCCTCTCCTCCTAATAGCAAAGCCAGAATGATTCTGCTGAAGCATGAATGAGTCAGCTATGTCACTCTTGTGCTTAAACTCCTCCATGGTTTTCCATCTCACTCAAGGTGGAAGCAGCTGTTACAATGGCCCGCAAGGCCCAGCCCCATCCCACTGCTCCTCCGCCAGCCGTACGGGGAGCCTGGTTGTTCCTTAAATGTTCAGACGGGCTCCCGCCTCGGTGCCTTTGTATTTGCTGTTCCTTCTGTCTGGAAGGTTTTCCCTCTAGGTCTCTGCATGGCTTTCTCCCTCATCCCTTTAGGTCTTTATTTAATGCTGTCTTCTCAGTGAAGCCTGCTTGACCACCTGCTCCCATCCCTGCAGCGGGCCCCCCCTGTTCCCCTTCCCTACTTTCATTTTCTATGTAGCACATATCTACCTGATCATTGTTTGCCTGGGACTGTCCCAGCTTTAGCATTACAAGTCCCAAATCCTGGGAAACCCCACAGCCCCAGGCAGACCGAGACGGTTGGTCCCCCTACTGATATATTACACATTTTACTTGTTTATTGTTGGTATGTTAATAATATAACAACATGTTTCTCTGTGAGAGTAGGGATTTTGGGCTGATTTGTTTATGATACCCAGTGTGCATAGTAAGTTCTCAATAAATATGTATTTAATGAATAAATGGAAAGCCAATAATGACTATGATAAATTAGCATCATCCAGTGTTTAGTATATAGTAAATTCTCAATAAATATGTTTAAAGAATAAATAAATAAATTTCCTATAAAGTTATACATATTAAAACATGTACTACTATAACCCTAATTCGCATGTCAATTGCTAACTTGCATGCAAATATGACCCTAATTAGCATGTTATTTGCTAATTCTGCTTTATGGATGTTACCCACAATTCTTTTTTTTGTATTCATGACAAAAAAAATAATACATGGCATATAGTGTCATGCACAGCATCTGTAGACCATTACTTTAGCCTGCTTGGGAGACTATACATCCTTTACCCCCAGACGATGAAATGGACCTGGCCCTGGGCCTGGGCCTGCTCAGGCCACATCCCAGCAGCACTCCTGCCTGCCCAGCCCCCCTCTCCACAAAGTTCTGCAGCTCTCACTGCTTTGCGGCTAATCTGGTTAGAAAAGTTGGGCCAGCCCTGGCCAGTTTGGCTCAGCGGTTAGAGCGTCGGCTTGCGGTCCGGAGAGACCCGGGTTCGGTTCCCGCTAAGGGCACGTACCTCGGTTGCAGTTTGTCCCCGGCCCTGGTTGGTCGTGTGGGTGGCAGCCACTCGATGTGTCCCTTCACATCGATGTTTCTCTCTCTCTCTCTCTTCCTCTCTCTCTTCCTCTCTCTCCCTCCCACTCTATCTGTACAAAAAATGGAAAAATTTCCTCGGGTGAGGATAAAAAAAAAAAGAAAGAAAAAAGAAAAGTTGGGCCATAATCTCTGCACAGTTCTAATGACTACAGATCTCAAACTTTTCAAAAGAAAAAAGATCTGGCAAACTATTCATATAAAAATAAAAAGCTTTCTGAGGTCCAATGGGGTCTTTTCAAGAGGTACAGGTAGTTCTGGAAGGGACCCGAAGAACAGGCAAGGCAAGGGGATAGGGACAAACATGTCCTATTCCTGCGGGGGTGGGGCTCAGCCCTTAACAAAATTGCACGGCTCAGAGGCAATTAAAAAGAACACTAAGACTCCAACCAGTGAAAAGCCTGTGAGGACAGGACAATGAAAGAACTGGGAGAGCTGGGGGAAGGGCAGAGTGGGTTGTGTCCACATCTCCAGCGTGAATCAGCGCCTGACTTGGTCAGGTTGCTAAGGTGACTCTCCTAATTAAGACAGCAGAGTGGTCCAATGCCACCCACCCCTCACTGTAGGGAGGGTCCTCCTGCAGGAACTGGCTTTGGGCTTCCAGGGAATTGATCCGGTGGTCTAAGCATCCAGAATCCAAGAGTGGCCTCTATGCTGGGGCCCTGGTTCTTTCCCGCGTGCGTTCTTCACTCCAGTTCTGGTCTCACACCGCCACCCCTGAGCTAGACCTGAGGGTAACAGCAAGACAAAGCCACTCCAGCGCTGCCTGGCCCTTTGCCCTCACCCCAGGGAATAGCCCCCTGCTCTGGAAGCTTCTCACCTTTTCTCCTCTCTCAAGCTCCTCAGCACGTTGGAATCACCTGGAGAGCTCTAAACACGGCTGATGCCTGGACACTGGGGGTTTTAAAAGCTCTCTGAGTGACTTCAACGTGCAGCCTGGGTGAGAACCGCTGCCGCACATCCGGAGCTGCAGGCAGATCACCTTTTGGATAAATATCCTGTGGGTTGCTCACCTGTCTGCCGGGGAAACAGGTGACAAGAAAGGCAGGTGCTGACTCGAGGACTGGGAGGCAACTTCTGTGCGGGGGGATGGAAGAGCCAGAGCCAACGTCCCAATCCCCGAGCCCAAATGGCATCAGTCCCAGGACATTTTGAGACTGCAGTCAGTTGCAAAATGAGTCAAGTATTGATTTTTAAAATGAGAACATATCAAATTCACTTCATTTGACTGACCAGAGTTCAACAGCCCAAGAGAAGTGAGATCCAAGAGTAATTAAGGTCCAGCCATGAGAGCGTGGTTCTCAAAGCTGGGTGTGCCTCAGAACCATCTGAGAGCTTGTGAAAACACATCAGCGGGCCCCACCCCCAGATGTTCTGATTTAGTGGCTCAGGCTGGGACCCAGGAATATGCATTTCTAATAAGTTCCCAGGTATGTTGATGCTGCTGGTGGAGGGACCACGCTTTGAGAACCATTACCTAGAGTGGTTTCACAATGAACCTAATGAAATGACATTTCTACCTGAAGCTGTTTACACTTAGTTGCATGAGCGTGGTTTGCCTTAAAAGTGCAGCACCACCAAACGGAAGAAGCAGAAAAAACCCAGACAAAAATTGAGGTGTTAGATTGGTCAAAGATAACATTATGGGATAGTTCAAAATATTTGGAAGGATAACACATTTTTCTCCTCAGGTATTTGGGTCAGAGAATTGGGCTTTGAGGATACCATGGTATTTTATGAAACGATGAATGTAATCTTGGCCTAAAAAACAATCAATGTAATTTCCAGAAATGCTTCACTTTACTTCTGCTGGGTGATAGTCTATGTATCTAAACAACTAGTTATAATAAATCAGTAAAGCACCCTGGTCAGCCTTAGTTTAGGTAAAGCCCTATTAGGGATTATAAATATAAAAATTCACTAATGAGACAGTGTTGGCAGATAGCTTTGCTAAAAATCTAGTAAGAATAGCTGAAAATCTAGTCAAATATACTCTCTCTGAAATTCTCCTTTTTCTATGATTGCTAAATAAGAAAACTGGTATTTCACAAAGCTAGTTCTATACAATCAGTGCATATGTGGTTAACCCTGCAGTGAATTCAGTCCACTAGTTATCCAGGAGACATAGCAGTGGGGAGGGCATCACTTCTTCTAATAGGCAACAGTGTTTCTGCTTTAAGATCACTCAGCCAGGACACTGGCCTGCAGTCATAAACAGGAAAGCATTATATGTATGGCTTCTTTTTCTTCCGTCTACCCTTCTAGAGGTGCCCAGTAGCCTGGCATTAGAAATACATTAGCAAAGGGGTACAGTCAGCTTTTTGTCTCAGGTGTGTTTTATTTGAAATGCTCACTTATAGAGATAAAACCAAACTCTTAGGAACGCAGAAAAGATAATGCCTCTCTCTAAAGTATGTTTTGTCAAAACTAAACTGTCTACATTGTCCACATTCACCGATTAGAGACTTTGAATACTTTCCCAGCTTTCCCGAGTTCTTTATTATTCCATTTCTCTCCATTGTTAGGTTTTGATTTAGGAATACCTCACTTTCACTGAAGTAGGAAAAAACATAGCCTGAGGCACAGAGACAGCAAGATAGCAAAATACGTTTGTTCGTTTCTGACTAGGAAAAACTCCAGCTTTGGCGTTCAAAATGGGCCTCTGAGTATTAACAGACTTACTTGCTGATGATGAGCGTTTCCTCTCCGCACACCCAGACTCGCATGAACTCTCCGTACATCCTGTTGTAGTAGTTGCAGGCGCTGCCGATCCCCATCCACAGGAACCTGAAGTGGGAGACGAGGGGCCCAATCCCCATACAGTAGCCAGGACCTAGGAAAACCGTCGGGTCACAGTCAGCGTTCCGCTAACACCGAAAAGAGCGACTGCTCTGTTACTACTGCCCTCGTCCTTTCATACCAAAGTGTTTTATCACATCTTCTGATTTATATCTGTGAGTCACTAAAAAAGAAACATTTTAAGAATCTCATGCTCTACCGACTGAGCTAGCCCGGCGCTAAAAGAAACATTTGAAAGCTGAACTGGAAGCTCTTTACCCCTCTATGAATAAAAAGTAATTCATTGTCCACACCATACTAATTCCATTTGACCTCAATCATTTCATTTGGAAGGAACCAGGGCACGTGTCTGCTATTTTCTTGCCATGTTATATGGTGTTAATGAGTTTCAAATGCAAGTCAAGCAATCCGTCTAGGTACAAGCATAGAGACCAGGAAAAGTGACCAACTGACAGATCTGTGTGGCTGCCTACTTTTGTCTGAAAACTTTTGGTTTAAATCCCCCAGTTGTCCTAATGGATGGGTTAGAATTAGGGTGCAGTTTTGGTGTACTTTTTTTAGCTAAGAAAAACATGATCTGCAAAGATAATGTCCAAAGAACATCCCTTTTTATTTTCCCCTTCAAAAAGCACTCAGTTTAAGAAAAGAATCTTAAGCTAAATCTTATTAGGCAAAATAAAGCTAAAACCTGAATTAGGCAATGAGTCTGATCAGTTTTTAGACCAGAGTTTCAGTCCATAATGTGGTTTTACTCAGCCGCTCTCATCCCTGTAAACAAAGAGAGAATTCTTTCTCTTAAATTGATTGTTTGGTTGACATTAGAGAGAAAGGAAAGGTGAGAAAGAGATTTGTTGTTCCACTTATTTATGCATTCATTGGTTGATTCTTGTACATGCCCTGACTAGGGTTCAAACTGGCAGCCTTGGTGTATCAAGACTATGCTCCAACCAACTGAGCTACCTGGCCAGGGCCAACAAAGGCAGGATTTTGAAGACATGAATTCAGTGAACACCTATGGAATTTTCTGTTGCTTATATCAGAGAACAAATTTGGTAGCTTGACTTTACCAGTGGTGGTGAAAAGTTAGACAAAAACTTTTTGGAATGATTTTAGGAGTTTATTTGTAAAGCAGTAGCTTTCCTAAATCCTTCTCCCGTAAGTCCATTCTGTCGGTGAAATAGTTATAAAGCCAAAACATGCACAACTATGTGAGGTAGTACTTTCACTTTATGGGCAGTAGCTGTATAGTAATAATCCTGATAATCTAAGCTTTTTCTTGAATCATCTAAATGGTATGTTTAGTTCCAAATTCAGCAAATGAGGTTTGGTTCTTAACTATGCAATAGTTGTATAAATATGGACAAGACTGTTAGCTTTTTCCCCTTTAACACAAAGGACTTTGTTCATATCTATAGAAGGAAAATATTTTCAGAGGGTTCTTAATATTTTGTCCTAATAACACTGTATTATAAGTAGATGACTGACTTTATATAAAATAATTTTATTACGTTCTTAAAAAGATTTAAATAAACAGGTTTGAGTAAATATGTATTTCCTTAAAATATCTAGAGATATACCAACCTGCTATCAATTGAAATATGCATAATAACAAAACACTTTACTGGATTCTTACAGCTTGAAACATTGTAGATGATCAATAAATCTTTTCTGAATGAATTTTAAAAAGTAATTAGACATGTGTATAATATAAAGAATAACCTTTTACATGTAATTCTTTTTTAGAGTATTTTAGGTTGTATTTACATTTTGATAAAACTGGAAACATATCATTGTATCACACACATTTATTCCAAATGAGGTCAAACACCTGGCTATTTGGGAGTAGATTTATTCAACATTTACTTATTATCTCAGAAACAAAGACAACAAAGGCTGCACTTTTCACTTTTTTATCTAAAGTTTGGTGCCATGTAAAAAGTGGTGGTATGTGGGAACCCCTCTCAAAGGTGAAAGATGACAGTGCAGAGCTGCAGCTTCTGGAAAGGGAGATCGCAATGCACTTGGATGGAAAGTCTGAGTGTCCTAACCAGAAGAGAATCAGAGTTTGGCTCCTTAGTGATCAATCATATGTCAGCTCAATTCATCCAACACACACCGAGAACTGACCAGAGAGAGAAACTAGCTCCAAATTAGGAACTAGAGATAGTGTGGTAAGTGGAAGTAGGTCCCTGTCAGAGTTCCGCAGGAGAGGAGCGTATGTAAGGAAAAAGTGCAAAATCAAACAGTTCCAACACAATCTGACCCTCTCATTCATACGCATGTCTTACCCCTTCCAGCTGGAGAGCAGTGTGCTCTCCCAGGGGACAAACTTTAGTAGGATGTCAGGGGAAGATTCTGGTTGCAGCCACAGACTAAGCTGCCGTCTGCTTCTCAGAGCTGGGGGTGCTTATCTAGGCGTGCGGCTGCAGGGGCCATTTCACCCTAAGAGGAGCAGTAAATACTTGACAGCAATTTTGTACAGAGACAGCCTGTGTGAAGCCAACAGCTGGGACCTCCTGCCTGCTCTCTAATCAAGAACCTGTGTGAAATGCATTTCACACTAGGTATACACCCTAGAGAAACCCGTACACACGAATGCTCACAGCAGCACTATTCACAATAGTCCCGAACCAAAGGCACCCCAAATGCCTTTCAGCAGTAGAAACAGTAATGAAACCAGGGGCAGTTCATGTAACTGCTCACCATGTGAACTACAGCTGCAGGCCACCACGGGGATGAGTCTTACAAGTATAACACTGAGCAAAAGAAGCAAGATAGAAGAGTAAGTAACATGGGATTCTATGGCTCAACCGTTTAAAACTGGACAGTATTAAACCAGACTGTTTGGGGATGAGAAATTAGGTGGTAACACTGTAAAAAAGCAGGGAGTGATTGTCACCTGACAGAGCACACTTACCTCTGGGGGTGAGACAGAGGGTGTGATCAAAAAGGCCCAAGAGACGTTCGCGGGACTCTGCTAACATCCTTTTTTATTTTTGACCTGGACCGTGATGACATTTATTTGTGCACTTTTCTGTAAAATATTTTCTTAATGGGAAAAAAAGAGAATGTGTTGCTGTGTCCTTTCCCTGTGTCCTCCTCTGGGGATGTGGTGCCGGAGCAGAGAGAGGCTTGGAGGAGACCCAGGTGCAAGCTTGGGGGTGGCTGTGTGCTTCAGGGGAAGGGAGGCTGCCAGGTGCCAGGAACTGCATCCTGCACAGAGATTGGTGAACTCGGGGCATTTCCCAGAACTGAAGCTCCTGAAGCCCCCTTGCCTTCCCCAGACTCTCATCGCTCTCCCTGGCTCTAAGTCGTCTGCCTGTGAGCATCATCTCGGTCCCCTCCTCAAGTCTGACACAGAGGGCCTCTCAGGACATGCAGGTCAAAGAAGCTTAGATTTGAGTCCAAATTTCATCACTTACCAGCCATACAACATCTACCCAATCTTTTTGTTTCAGTTTCTTTACCTGCAAACAGGCAGAAAGACATCCACCCCACCAGCGTGCCCCGAGGATCACAGGAGAAAAGGGTGTAAGGGCTTCCAATCATCACCCCTTCTTAAGTCCCTTCAGCTTTCACTAACCATGAGCGTCCCCAAACCTGTGACATCGAGAACCCAGAGAGCCAGCGATTTGAGGGAACCGACCGAAGGGGAGCTCAGACTTGGTCAGCAGGCATGACCCCGACATGGCCGATTTCTCACTTCTTCGCTAACCAGGAACCGCGGGATCACACGGTCTGTGCCACTCAGGGGTGGGGGACCGTTTTTCTGCCAAGGGCCATTTGTATATTTATAACATCATTTGTGGGCATACAGAATGATCAGCTGAGCAATTAGCCTGCTCTATTTGGTCAGGCTGATTTGGCGAGGCGTGTGGTGTCAGCTGGTATGGATTTCGTGGGACGAAAGCTGCAGGCCGGATGTTCCCCTTCCCCACAGGCTAGAGGATTCTGACCAGAGGGGAAGCCTGGAGCTAGAAGCTCCCTGGCTGGCAGAATGATCACCCACGTGGCTGCTGGCTGCCCTACCACACACGGTTTCACTTTCCACACAGCTGGGGGTCTGACCGGCCATTCCATTCTCTGTACTTGAACCTCTCGCCTGTAAAATGAGCAGTTTCAACTTCATGGTTTCTCACACTGGTCAAAATGGTTTGCTGGGCAAGGCAGATCACCTCTCTGGGGCTCAGTTTCCCCTTCTGTCAAATGAAGGTGTTGGGCCCATCTCTATGTCTCTCAGCCCTGGCTGTTCATGAAAAATCACTTGGGGAGATTTTAAACAATATCCACATGGGGGCCCCACCTCCGATGTGGCTGAGAGCCACGGTGCTAGGCGACCACCAGTGTAGGCCAGCACAGAGCCCCGGCCCGGAAGTGGAGGACAGATGGGCTGTCGCCGAGGCTCCTGACCCAGAGCTTGTCCCCTAGACTGACCTCCTCACTCAAAGGTCTGAGGGAGTTCTCCCACCACCTGCAGCATGAACATCTCGGGGGGTAGTTAAATGTGCCCGCCTCACCTCCGCTGTTCGTGGAGCCTGACTTGGGAGCCCACCGGGGAAGAAGATATTTAGTGAGAAAGGATTTTAAGTTAAAGACCATGGAAGAATCTTCCCTCAGACCCCATCAGGGAGTAGAGAACAAAATTAACTAAACATTCTGTGAAATCAGGCATCAAAGTAACCTAAAATACCAGGCTGAATTAGACAGACAGGCAGTTCTCTGGGAATTCGTAAGGAACCCAGACACAGGGCGCTTCGCACAGCCCCCCGCTCCGGCTCCAGTCACGCTGCTGAGGCCCCTGTGCGTGGACGTGGGCAGTGACCGCGCTCCGCAAATACAGCCGCACTGTGTCGCTAATGGGATCGAGGACAGACGCCTGCCATGAGGAACTGTCACTGGAAGCTAAAGAACTAGTCTGATATTTCTGATTAATTCTGAATTCATCTGACAGTGATGGAATGGTGGTGGGGTTTCCATTGAATTTACTTGGGTAAGTACATTATACTCTACTTCTGACTGACCCACAGATCTTGTGGAAGATTCTGTCAGGGTGTGATGTTCAAAGGGAATTGTAATGGTCCCCTCTCCCACTGCCCAGGTCTCATCCATCCCCCTCCCTCTCCTGAGAGGAGAAGACAATGGAGAGTGAGATCAAGGAAGGCAGGGGGAGAGCAGGGGGGAGGCAGGGGGAGGCAGGGGGGAGGCAGGGGGGAGGCAAGGTGGGCAGGAGAGGGACAGGCGTACAGAAGGCGTTCCAGAGAACTTTTTCACCTTCAGAGCAAAATTGAAATGGTTTGAATCCGACAAAGAAACAAAAAACACTGGAATTTTACCTTGCTCCTCCTCGTCTCAAACATACCTTGAAGGGTTTCTGCCAAGTCTACCTTACCAAAGCTAGGCACAGAGTAGAAGGAATTACCTAAGATATTTTGAAAATACTTTCATTTAAAATGTGCAGATAATTGGTATAACATTTTCTACCGGAGTCTTCATTTGCTAACATTGCTATGGACTCCAGCCATCTCCCTAGGTTTGCTCTGTCTTTTTCAAAATATTTTTACTCTCATGGACCAAAGCCCAAGTAAATAATCTCCTTAGAAACAAAACCACTTACGTATGACAACTTACCTGGGATTGAGGATGTGTCCTCATAATTCCAAACCAGAAAAAGGAAGCCAGTGAGCAGCAGGATTGGCATGGTGGCCACGGGCACAGCTTCGGGCACCATGCTGGTGATGTTATAATGCATTGGGTTCAGCATTTCCAAAACCATAGTGTGTTCCTTGATCTCAGGGGAAGCAAGTTAAAGTCCTGTGGAAATCAAAGGGGCCCGCAAATTAGAGAATCCCCCAAGAGATATCTCTAGGACTCCTGTTCCTTCAGAAGATGCTATACTGTAGAGAGCTGCACTTTGTTTTATAATGTGATTGAACACTTAGACAAGACAGATTTGACTCGTGGGTACAAGTCAAAACAAGCAAGCCCAAGAGAGATCTTTTGGCTTGACGTGCAACATTTCTGACCTTGATAGTGTCAGGTTCATTTAGACGCTCAGTCTGATAGAACCTTATCGTCTTGCCCTTGAGTGGGTAGAGTGACTGAATTCCTAATTGAGAGCCAGATTTCTTACCAAAATACAAGACAATGAGGCTCACTCCAGAGGCGGAGGCATCCTGTGACTTCATCAGCAGATTTCGTGTCGGCAATCTTTTTCCCTCGCAGCCAAATCAGTTCTGTTTTTAAAAAAAGCAATCCCAACACCCTTCCTTGCTCAAAATTGCTTTCCCCAAAGAAGAAGCTTCTCAGCAGGAACGGGTTTCTTGGTCATCAGTGGGGCCTTCTCAGAGGCCCTGTTAGAGTGCCCATTGCATCCACTGTGACTCACGCCAGACGAGGGAGGCTGAGGATCTCTCGCATCACAGGCTGGGTTAAGCAGGGCCATGGGGGCCAACGTCAGAGGTGGTAGGAAAGCAGAGTGGGAGAGGAAGAATAGGGGAGAGGAGAGAGAGCAGGAAGAGGAAGGAGGAAGGAAAGAAAGACAAACCGAGCAGCGTGCCACCAGCCACAGGCCCAGGTGCCCGTCAGCAACCTGGCCCCCACGGCAGCTGACCTCCTGTGCAAGAGGGTTTTCAGTTCCATTTGTTGAGTCTGTATTCACAGCAAGGTTTTCTAATACCTATACTCTCAAGAGGGAGTTTCAGAGACGCTGGTTTGTTGAAGAGACCTAGGTTGAACAGACTTGGACGTGAGGGAAGAGCAGCCGTCAGTGCAGCCCCCGGAGCGATGGCCACCCCGAGGTTTACCTCTCCGTGGGAAGTGCCTGGAGTTTCCGGCATTTGTAATGGCTCCGAAACAGATTTTGGCTAGGTTTTATCTGGCAGTAAAGTTCTAGATTCTTAGCTAGGGCTTCTAATTAGATTTCAGGGGCTCCGTGAACTCCCTGAAATGCTGCGTAAGATGTTGTATCTGCTCGTCTGCCCCTTTCAGGGGAAGGAAGCCAGAACTCCTTCATATTCTTACAGACTGTGTACTTATAACTCTCCCAGGATCCATGAGATGTAACCATACAACCAAAGACCCGTTTCTGGCAACTGCGTTCAATTGCTTGATTCGTTCTATTTTTCCACCTTTTAAATAGTCATTACAGTTAAGTTCAAGGCACTGAAAATACCTGTACATGTATTGGGCAGTTATACACACACACACACACACACACACACACACACACACACACATACATATATGTTACATATATATGTATATATAAAGTTGAAACTGGAATTCAGCAATGTTTCTGTTATCTGGTTCCTTTGTTAATGAGTAGGTGCTGCTTTGAACAGGTTGAGTTTTTCCATTTTTAATTTCCAGAGTGGAATTTTATGTCACTCTGAGTAGCTCTTGTGGGTTTCGAACAGCAGGACCCAAAGGTTCCTATTCATCTCGACGAAACCTGAAACGCATATTAAAACCATACGTGCAGAAAGGGACTGTGAGGAAAAGGGGACGGCAGCACAGAGGAAGTGATGCTGGCAGAAAACTTCACACTGAAGGAACTCCGACATCTCGCAACACTGGCAACACAAAGGGCAAATGTTGGAAGCCTTTGCAGATTCACAAAGGAGCGTGACAGTTCGCCCAGGTGTGGGAAAGAGCCCTCGGTGCCCTAAGCTACACAGAGAAGGCAACACCTGCTCAAATACTCCTGAGACAGTTCTCTTTCTCTTTCTCTTTTAACAAAGAAATCACTTTAAGACTTGCAGTGTTGCTAATGTTTTAAATGACAGTATATTGCTAGTTTTACTATTTGTTATTTTTCTATACACTTAAAACCTACAGTAAGAATTTTGAATATTTCAACAAAAATGTGGAAGGTCACAGAGCAATCATGTTTTTTCTCTTGATTTTTAAGATTGCTCTGGCAATTTCTGCTTACATGGTCATTTTTACAGTCCTGCACTACTGTGTGAAGTGAGAAATGTTTAGACATAAACATTTATGTCTAAATGTTTAGTGGGGCTAAGAAACTTGGTTCCTCATCTCCCTTAAAAGTATATTATTGAGCCCTGGCTGATTTGGCTCAGAAGTTAGACCGTCGGCCCACGGACCAAAGAGTTCGATTCCGGTCAAGGGTACGTGACTCGGTTGTGGTTTGTTCCCAGACCCAGAAGGGGTTGTGTGGGAGGCAGCCAGTCGATGTGCCCCTCTCACGTTGATGTTTATCTCTCTCTCCCTTTCTCTCCCTCCCTCTTCCTCCCACTCTCTCTGAAGATAAATAGGAAAATATCCTCAGGTGAGGATTAAAAAAAAAGTATATTATTAAGACACCCCCAAAAGTACCATTTAAAGACATAACAAGATAAATTTTTTAACTGATTTTTTTAGAGAGAGAGAGATTTGTTGTTCCACTGTTCATGCATTCATTGGTTGATGTGTGTATGTGCCCTGACTAAAGCTCAGACCCTCAACCTTGGCATTATTGGGACAACACTCTAACAGAGTTACCCAGCCAGAGCAGGTTAAGAATTTGTTTTAATGCTAACAAAGCATTTTGCTGTATGTCAGGATCTGTACAAATATTAAGACATTCATCCTCATAACAGTTGTTTGAGCTGAGGATGAGGACCCCCATTTTACAGATGACAAAACTGAGGCATAAGGAAGTAGCTTGCTCTAGGTCACCCAGCTCATTTGTTGCAGAACTGGGAGTGGAGTCCATATAGTTTGTCTCCAGAGCCCTCTGTTAATAATACCATTTCGTTGCCTATTATGGGATTTGTTCATTCCCTATATTCAGTGGCTTTTCAATCATTTATGTTTATTCTTAGGCTATTCAGAATGACTCCCTTTAAAGGAGTAAGCTTCCCAGACCTCAGAAAAAAGATTCTTTCTTCCTTGTGCATTAGTTTTCCTGTTTGGTAGGACATTCTGATAGGTCACACAGACAGGTTCAACAGAGGCCTCTGGATGGTGGTACTAGATTTCATAGAGCTTATGTGTCTTGGGTGCCAGGAATACTCTCCCCTCACCCCCACGCATGCATATGCACACACACACACACACACACACACACACACACACACACACACACACACATATATGGCCCTTAAGTGCCATTGCCTTCAAGGGCCATCTCAAACGCCTGGGTCTCCAGGCACTTATGTGCAGGGTGGTTCCTACTGGCCATTTGCTGGGGCATCCAACAACGGGCCTGGCACCAAGTAGGAGCTCTGGCCACCTGATGAACCAGGCTGGTGCTCCTGTGCTGTGCAGAACTGCGGGTATCCTAACACCTTTACTTAATGCCTTGCCAACCTCAGGACAAGGAAAAGCTAGCGCGATACCCAGAGTCCCCAGTCAGAGAGGGACACAGCAGAGCCTGAGTGTCCTGGGGACCTTGGGATCAGGACACACCATGGGTCCCACAGTGCCAGGAGGGCCCCTAGGTGCGCTGATATAGCCTGACCATCTGCGGGGTGAGGACGCAGGCCCTAGGCTTGCAGAAATGCTGCCCAGCCTGGCCAGATACTTGCAGCATGGGGGCAACCTGTCCAGCAGGAGACGACCTGAGCACCCTGGGTGCCAAGCCTGCCCTCCCTCTCATTCTCTCCAGCACCTCTGCCTGGCCCCTCTTTATGCCCCCACTCCTAGAGAAGTGAAACCCAGACTCCTTGGTTCTCCCTGCTGCACCATCTGATTTGGGTCCCCACAGAGGGCTGCCTCCTGGGGCTGCTGTTAAGAGCAAGACAGATGTGACCTCAGCGCTCCAGGGCTGACAGGAGGAGGAGGTACAGACCCTTACTGAACAGTTCCCTAAGTGAGGGAGAACTTCCCACTGGGGAGCAGGAAGGCTTGTGGCTAGAGAGTGTCCTGCCCCGGGGAGGGGCTGCTGAGTGGGACTGGGGGCCTGGAGGGTGAGAGTGTGTGTGTGTGTGTGGGTGGGGGGAGTGAGCACAATGCTAAACAAAAGATCAGCCAAGCACAGAAAGGGCTGGAGAGCAGGGGCTCAGAGAGTGGGGGGAAGTGTGGGGTACACTTGGGATAGAGATGGTGATAGGGGACACCTGTGCAAAGCCTTGTAGGCACATTAAAGATACTAGGATGTGTCCTAGAGAAATGAGAAGCCACTGGAGGGCTTTAAGCAAGGGGTCAACAAACAACCCATGCCTACTCTGCATTTCCTCTCTGACCATTCTCAGCTCCTGGCTTTTGCTTCAACTACGCTCACGCCAGTCTCTGAGAGGTTACATATGACCTTCCTGCTGCCCAGTCCACACCTTTTTACCCTCATCTTTGTTTTTCTTGATCTCACCCTGTGGCATTGAACCCATTTGACTGTTCCTCCTTCTTGAATCTCTTTGTGGTTATTGCGATAGGCCTTTCCTCTTCTCCCCTTGTTCCTTCTTATTCCTCTGGACCTGTTGCTAGCCCCCTTGCGCTCCCCAGACTAAGTGCTTTGCTCTCCATGTTTCATACTTCTTTTGAGAACTCCTTACTGTTTCTGACTCCAGTTCTCACCACTGTTTCCTTCTTGGCCCTGTCCTCTCTTTAGCTCCATATCTGAGGCCCCAAATGTCTAGTGAACACCACCACGTAGATGTCTCGCCATCAATCCACACTGCTGTCTAAAACCAAACCCATCAACTTCCTCCTTACCTCCTTCTTCCACTTCAACTTTTTTATACATTGGTTTCCTAGTTGTTCAACTTCAAAATCTTGTTTTTCACTTACCCTTTACTTTCCTACCCATATCCCTCATCCCAGCCTAAACATGTCCAGTCCCAAAGTTCTAAGGATATTCCCTAGAAATGTCT